CGTTCAACATTTCTCTTAGCTGAATGTTGAGAACTTTGGCTGTGACAGTGCCATCTATTTTTTCACGATTTTGTTCACAAACTGTCATGAGATCAGGCCAGTTCTTGATATAGTGCTCAAAACAGTCCACTACGGAGTTCCATCACATGTCTTGTGGGTGAGTTAGCTTGGTTCCTTCCACTTTTTTCAGAGCAACTGCTGCAAAGGGGTTGTTACAGAAATATTTTGCAATTTCAACATTAGCCTTTATTTCTGAAACACTGAAGTCTTTGGCTAGGAGGTGCATCAAATGAGCACTGCAACTGGATGTTGTTAGCTTGGGGCTCTCTTCTAAATAATTTCTTCTCATCTTGGATATGTTTGCAGGATTGTCTGTGACCAAGCTGTGTGCTAGACATTTGAATTCTTTTTCACAGTTTGTTATAGCTTTTACTGCTACTTTTTGTAAGTATTCTGCTGTGTGTGCATTTCCTGATTGTTTCTGTAAGGAAGACATTCCCTTCTTCTGTTGTCACACAAGCATATACAACAGGATCATTGTGGACATTGCTCCACCCATCAAGAATCAGGTTAACAAGTTTACCCTCTAGACTTTTTGCACACTGCTCAATTTCTCTTTCATACACTTTATCCAGCAGTTTGCCTGAAACATCTACTCTGTTGGGTGGACTGTATCCTGGTGTTAATGACTGAACCATGTTAATGAAGTGTGGGTTCTCAATCATACGGAATGGAGTGTTTGTTGCATAAACAAACTGGGCAGTTTTTCCATCAACTACCTCTTTTTCTAATCTGCTTCTTATCACAAACTTATCTATGGTTGTTTCTGGATGATGGAGATTTTTTTTCTTTTTGCTACAGGTGATATACTGTGGCTATGTGACATGTGATGTGATTGAAACGCTATCATTGGCAGATAACTCCGAAACTATAGAAAATGATGGTGATCTTGAAGGTGGATAGTCTCTCCCCCCCCCTGCCCCCGTTCCCCACACACCTCCTTTTTGGGTCAGGACCCCTACAATTACAATACCATGAAATTTCAGGTTGTAATAGCTGAAATCGTGAAATTTACAATTTTTAAAATCCTATTACCGTGAAATTGACCAAAATGAACCCTGAATTTGGTAGGGCCCTAATTATACCATAAAAACAATTGAAAGGTTTTGATAAGAACTTGATAAGAAAGCTACTGCCTTCTTTGCACTTTAAGAAACTTTAAGAAATATAGCACAAAATAAACAATTTACAGCAATGACTGACGCACGTAACCCTGGATATATTTCTTCAGACAGACTTAAAATTGCAAGTCCACTGCTACATGTTCCACACAAGATAATGAAGGAAAATTTTAAAGAATAATCACTTCTATTATTAGATTGGGGAACACACTAAATAGAAATCATGGCTACAAGCACCCATGCAGGGAAAAATGTGTTCCGAGATAATTCTGTTGATTCTATGCCGGAGAACAAAACTGCAGAACGTTATGTTGAGGTTACTGAAGATGCCCTTAAAGAATACAGAGATCAGCATGATCTAAAAAGTCTGCTGTTTGCTCAGGCAAGGGAAATAAAATGGAAAGGGATGAGAACTACTCAGGGCAATCATCAACTTATTGGTATTCAGCACCTTATTTAAATTTTATTGTGAGAAAGAAGTAATCCATTTGAGAGCAAAAGCACACTGGAAATTGAGAAATTCTTCTGTAATCATCATTGTGGCTGGTTGAAAAAAGAGTTGCTGTCCTAATTTCCTTGGGAGGGGATAGCTCAGTGGTTTGAGCATTGGCCTGCTAAACCCAGGGTTGTGAGTTCAATCCTTGAGGGGGCCATTTAGGGATCTGGGGCAAAAAAAATAAAAATTGGGGATTGTGCCTGCTTTGAGCAGGGGGGTTGGACTAGATGATCTCCTGAGGTCCCTTCCAACCCTGATATTCTATGATTCTATGACCTCCTTAGGCACATTGTCTCTACTTTGCATCCAACGGTTGGAATTTACACTAGCAGGGACAGTACTCTTTTTAAACCATAAAATGTCTTTTATACAACATGCTACAGAGGTTCACTGAACATACAAAAACAATTGACAGGTTTAAGAGATCACACGGGCTAACTACTCTTTCAACCAAGATGGAAATGTGGCTTGATCTGATTAGCAGCAAAGAACTGGAACCACATATGGCTAAAATTGAAAAATTACTCAGAAGTTATGGCACAGTTCCATACTGTGGTAAAAAAAAGTGGTTCTGAATACAAAGGACATATATTGTGCCTAGAATAGGACAAGGAGGGTGCTGGATTATATTCCTGAGTTACTTCTTCCAGCAAATTAATTTGAATATTCAGATTTCTACTCCAAATCTACCTTTGTGAAGGAGATTGTCAGCATTAAACTGCTGGAAAATTGTGTAAGTCAAATCAAGATAATTGAATTCAGAATGTTGTCAGGGTTTGTTTTGTTTTTTCCTCCACTCCCCACTCCAAGACCTTATGCTTTTGTCCAGTCAGTTCAGCATCTAGTGAGCATGTTCTTAGCACACTCGTGGTTTGATTTGAAAAAATTGTAGTAGGCTGGCTTTTGAAAATAAATTTATAAAGCTGGTAAGTATATTGAGATTTAAGAGCAGATACAAAAGCTGTGGGCCTAACTAGCTGGGAGATTGGAGACTCAGTTATGTTATCTTGTGTAACGTATAGAATTGTAAACTTTTCATTTTGGATTATGTATCTATTTGAAGCATAAATGGGCTTACAAAATGAGTTGCAGAGTATAAATTTGTTTCATTTAATAAAACCTTGATATGTTTGTTTTTAATTTTCCAGTGGGTATTTTCCGTGGGGGTGGGGGAGAAATCACAACGGCCCTGTTCTCCCAATCCCTCTCTGGAAGTTTGTGTTATGTCTTACCTGTGTAACAGAATTTGATTGTATACAGATTCTATCCGGGATAATTTTTTGAAGCTTAATGCTTGTGGTGCTCTTGCTCTTTCTGAAAATAATTTGTGTTAGAGGTATTTAGTTTCAATGACTAAAAAAATCAACTACAGGGTTTTGTTACTTAGCAACATTCAAGTGTAATTTTAATTTTCATGTTGGTGTGTATTTAATTTAGTAAAGGGTTAAAGCTTACCTGGGAAGGTGCAGTTCTTTCTAAGCAGAGCTTAAAAAAATAGCCTGATGCTTACTAGCCAATGTGAAAATGCATGTGCTGCTACACATCCTGAAATGTAAAGGAAAAAAAGTATTGCTTGTTGTACATTATACAGTGTATCTTTTTCCTAAATTGTCTTCAGTGACTATTTCCTCCTTTCTCTCTTGCAGTACTGTATTTTATCCCAATCTCTCCCACACACATTTTCCCAGCCTCTACACACATGCAAGCACCCACATCTGCTCTCACATAGGGCTTTGGAGCAATTACAAGTCATATAGTATCCAGAGGATATATATAATTTACTAGACTCATTCCAAGAATAATACAAACACTTTCGGGGATTGGGTAGTGTGCCACTGCCCAGGAACAGTCCCTGGGTGAGAAGCCACCCCACCCTCATCTGTTGAGACACAGAAAGATGTTTGGGATTCCTACCAGTATGCTGTTGTTTGACCTTTCTCTCGGACTGCATATTTCATATGGTCTCTGGTTAATAGATGTCTGAAGATACTACTTAGCCCCCACTGGCTCCTGAAAGGCATAGGAGTTGTCTGTCTCTCTCCTTACCACCCCAGAACCTCTTGACTGCTGAATGATAAGGGTGTATCTGCAATTCTCCGCCTTCGTTAGCCACGGTTTTTGGCTCCTCTTTCCATTGCTCGTCTCTGCTATTGCTTGTAGTTTCTCCATTCAGCAGCTAGGTGATTCTTCTCAATCTCTGTTCGCATGGCTCTGGAATAATAGAGTAAATTGATCATACTTGTTACTTTCAGTGGTCATTGTTGTTTCTACATTGGATATGGGATTATATTGATGTTTTCCATACAAAAACTAAAGTTTACCTGAGTTAGTCACAGAACTTCCAGGCTGCCTTACTTACAGAATCTACATTTGCTTAGTTACCACAGAGTACCTGTGAACTTGGCTGTAAGAAGAAGAAGAAAAAAAACTGTTTCCAGCCTTAAGTATCTTGCGTGCTAACTTCCCCCAGTTTAAAGTTTTTGTTACCTTTAATTTAAAAGATTAACTTCCTAAATAAGTTCTCTCACATAAGATTGGACAAGAAAAGTGGGTGATACCCCTCAAAGAAAATTAACATTAGCCCTGGCCTGATATGGTAGAACAATATTTTAAACACTGATCTCTTGTCTAGTTTTATCTAGTCATGATGGGAAATAGATATTTGTGAAAGACAAACACATTAAAAAGAACATCTGTAAAGTAGCCATCCTTTGTATTTTAAAACCTACAAATCATACACATTGTAAGGAGAGTGATCACTTCAGATAAGCTATTACCAGGAGGAGAGTGGGGTGGGGGGAGGTATTTTTTCATGCTTTGTGTATATAAAAAGATCTTCTACACTTTCCACAGTATTCATCCGATGAAGTGAGGTGTAGCTCACGAAAGCTTATGCTCAAATAAATTGGTTAGTCTCTAAGGTGCCACAAGTATTCCTTTTCTTTTTGCGAATACAGACTAACACGGCTGTTACTCTGAAACTTCAACTGTGTAACCTAAGTAGAAGTCAGAGCTAGTGATCTGCAGTTTCATCCAAGGGCAGTTCACCTATTGAATAAAAATTGAGACCAGTGAGCTGCGGAAGCCTGCAAAGCTTCTGCTATTTGGACCTCATGGAGCAGAATATTTGCTGAACAGATTTCCAAGTTTACCACATGTTGCGTCCTACAGTTCACTGGCTAATAAATGGAAGTATTGTGCATAACTGGGGGTTTACTATTTTATATTTTTGTTGACTGACTGAGGTCTTATATGTGAAATTATTACAATATAGACAGTTGTGTAAAAGGAATGACATGTTTGTCTTTGTTTTTATAATCTAGTTGATGTTTTTTGGAATCTTTTTGTGCCTGGATGCTTTTCTCTATGTGTTCACCCTACTTCCTTTGCGAGTTTTTCTGGCATTGTTCCAGTTCATCACTCTGCCTTGCTATGGCTTACGGTAAGTTTTTGTTTTGTTTAAAAAAATATTACCATCTTTAAATATTTTAACTACATGGTTAACTTTTTGTAATTAGCTTATTTAATTTTATGGCCCTTTGGGCTCAGACTCATATTGATAATGGATTCCAGTGTTGTGAATAGAAGGTCTCACTTAAACCTACCAAAACAGGAAAAAAAGTCAAATTAGTCTTAACACTCATCACTAACTCACCCCTTTGGTTGACCCACATGTTGCCCATAACATCATGCAGACATGTTTTTTTTAAAGGGTTGAATTAAATAGCTACATATTTTTTAAGTGTTGAATTAAATAGCACTTTTAATTCAGTGGTTGTTGATGGGCACCTTGACGCATTGTGGCTTTGTGTTGAAATAAACACTTAGGAGAAAATTATTTTGCTGTGAAATCAAAGGTAACCCTTTTCTTATATAAAAAGCATGATTTTGCTTCAATAAGGAAGTAAATGCTGGGTGGAGAGGGCACCTTACTTCAACAACCAAGGGTACGCATACCCCTGGGGCTATGTAGAGATCTTCCAGGGGGTACATCAGCTCATCTAGAGATTTGCATAGTTTTACAACAGACTACATAAAAAGCACTAGCCAAGTCATTACAAACTAAAATTTCATCCAGACGCTTGTTTCTGTCTTGCTCTGTATACTTTACACTGAAATATAAGTACAATATTTATATTCCATTTGATTTATTTTTTGATTATATGGTAAAAATGAGAAAGTAAACAATTTTTCAGTAATATTGTGCTGTGATACTTTTGTATTTTTGTCTGATTTTTGTAAGCAAGTCTTTTTTAAGTTAGGTGTAACTTGGGGGTATGCAAGGCAAATTCGACTTCTGAAAGTCGTACAGTAGTCTAGAAAGGTTGAGAGCCGCTGCCTTACTAAAATTATTTAAGGAACCTGACTGATTTGGGGGATTGGTAATGAGTATAGAGACTTTCACTCCTAGATCAATAGTTCTGATTGTTAATGTATAAAAGTTATTACCAGCTGATAGAATCCCCCCTCACCCCCCCAGGGCTGAGAGAACAAAGATTGAATGGATGCAGGCCTGTCCAGAGAAATGTGAGGACTTGATATATCATGCTCATTAGGGCCCCTCCCTCTCCTTTTTCACTTTGTTTACACAGAAGTTATTGCCGTTTTGGGGTGCCCCCTGATCTCGGGGCCCTGGTACAGTTGTCACCCATTCTGCTCCCCCCGCCAACCCTGAATAGATGCATAGATTAAATTTAGTTGAATCCTGAAAAGAGGGTATCTCCATTTAGACGTTATGCAAACCCTTGAGTGTATTACACTTGAGAGACTGCAGTACTGGTGCCTATGCGGTAATAATTATTTGAATTAATAGAATATTGTGTGGCTGCAGTCTGCACTTTCATAAGCACTGCGTTGTCCTAATAATAAAAAGTCAGCTTGCATTTGTATTATATAGACAATGTTTTGTGGGTTTGAAATGTTTTATTTTAGAATATATCTTTTTAACAGAGGGAAAGCTAGTGTGATTACATGAAAAAGATCACCATAGCTGTTAAAGTATCTTCCTGTTTTGTGTTGTGAAATTTGTGTGCGCAAATTTGGTTAGTGTTTAAAACTATTAAAAATGGACACTAGATGGCAGCCTTCAGTGTATTTTATCTTGCTGTTTCATGAGATTAATCTGGGAGTTTTTCATAATGCAAAACAAAGATTTTCTTACCATGTACATCTGTAGTATAGAACAGTACTACAGTTTATCAATTTTAACTTGTTTCTTCATCACCAATTAAACAACATCCATACAGAGTCTTACAAGAGGAGATGTAATCACCAAAATATTAAAATACAGTTCAACTCTAAAACTGTCATTTAAAAATGGCATTGTGGGGATTTATTCTCTCGATTACTTCCTTTCTTTTTACACAGTTTACAAGTAAAATGTTTTCTTTTCCTTGATGCCAGCCTTGCAGAGCTAGTCTGGGATCAGGAAAAGAAGCCTCTTCTACTGTGCATAATAATCTGTAATAAATATCTATAGACTAAACGTTGTTTTTTAGATGTACCTTGGCAACCCCATTGTCTTCAGTCAGGTTTTACAGGTGCGGCCAAGAGCCAGTAATTTAACAATTTGGTCCACTAATTGAACTTTTTTTTTTTTAATGTTTGAGCCAAAATCCAACTCATTCTACTATTTTGGCTATACAGGGCTAAAAGAAGTAAGTAGTAGTAAAAACCTTTCATTGGTAATATCAACAGCTATGATTTTCAGTAAACCTAAGGAGCAGATCTTTTCAGTGAGTACGTTCAGTTTTGTTCAATCACTTTTCAAAACAACTTCACTCGAAACACACCTTTGCAAATACATTTAGCGAGGTAGACTCTTCATTAGAGTAGATTATCATACATTGTCTAATTCATGGATGTTTTAAATGTGATGACTTCATATAATGTTCACACTTAATATGTTTACAATACACTGTAATTTTGTTTAGCATGACATGATGATGCTGTTCCTAGGCATTCTGAGTTCTCAATTTTACTTTTGTTATTTAATAACCACTGATTTGATTTGGTATAGCAAAAAATAAAATTTGGGCTTTGATTCCCAAAATTATCAGTATACACTTATGTATAGCTAAATACCATGTCAGTAGGTAAAGCATATCTATAATTACTGAAGTTATTGACAAAGCAAATCGCTGATTAACTTTCTCTTCCTCACACAGTTCAAGTAGGTGTTCTGCCCTTTGGTTGGAAAGATTTGACTAGTTCTTCCTTATAGCTGTAACCTGTAACATCTTATTCCATTCTGTATAGTAAATAAAAGTGCTCCTCCCTTCACTTGGACTTTTTTCTCTAGATCTCATTAGGGAAGTTGATCAGTGTTCAGTCTCCCTTCTCCTTTTGCTCTTCATTTATTCTATTTCCTTGTAACTTTACTGTTCTTTATAAAATAGGGATTGTATTTCCCTTCCTTTTTTCTTGGAAAAACTTAAAGCTTTTCCTTTTATGTCAGACTAATCTGTATTCGTGGTAACATGTATGGTGCTTAAGTGCAAAGAGGGAACTGTACATAAGAAACATATGTGTATATTTTAATATCCCCATGAAACAAATTAGCTGAAACGTTGAACAAGGAGATTCCCATATCTGGGATAAATTTCCTGTCGCCATTCTACTTGAGCATTGTCAGGTTTTGACATACCTACTTTACAGGTTAGAGAATATAAGCTCTTCAACAATTTGACCACTGAGTTATTCTAGGTCCCTTTCTTTGGTCTAGCTTTAAATCTGTTGTGCAAATTCTGGTTCATTATATTTGTTAGAACAACATTAATTTTAACTTAGATAGCTATATCTTCACAGATGCTCAAAATTACTGAAGCTACAGCTTATCTACAGTATATTCGTAGTTGGAGCAATTCAAGAGTCTGTCACTAAGTGTAAACTGCCTGTCATTCTTGCTCAGCAAAACTGGCAGGACTTTGGTGCTGTTTCCCTTGGGACTGAGTGATAGTGTGTATTTTTGTCGTTTGGCAGGCCTAATTTCCTTAGGTCTGTATTCCAAACATAGAGTGGGTGTCTCTAAAGATTTGACAGATAGTTTAGGAAGTTAAGTAGAATTAGTAAGGCAATCTTACAAAACTCTTAACTCAAATAATTCCAGTGACTGATGTCTTCCTCCAAGGAAGATAAAATTCTCCTAAATTCAATAAATCTTTTTTTGCTATTCTTACTGTTAACTAAATTCTGGATACTAACCAAGATATTCTTCAGCCACTCAATCATGCTGTGCTGGAACACCAATTCTAATGTAAAGGATTTCCAAAAATTTGTTGGAATAAATCTCTTAAGATACTTCTCAAGAGTAGATTCTTAAACTGTACTTCTGAGAAAAGTACGAGATGTTTCCTTGACAATTGAGCCAGATCTGATTAGTTCAGACAACAGATTTCCTAAGCATCTTAATCTTTTGCTTGTAGAATTTTATAAGGATATTGATCATTTATTTTCAGCCTAGCATAGCTAAAGGCCCATGAAGAAATGATAGGAAGATCTTTGTTCATAATAATATTGGTACAGAGAGTCATAGGATGAAGTCTTAAAATTGCACATTATCCAAGACAGTTTCTTAGATATTAGGACTAAAGAGGATCCTATAATTCTATAATTAAGCCATAGAATGAATAAAGACTAGATTAAATTACATCTTTGTTCTTTCCTGAAAGTGAGGTTTTTCTATAATCTCAGACTTTTTTTTTTAAAGCAGCATTCTAGAAAATACTGAACTGGATTATAAATTTTCTCATATGGGAAGAAATGTCAGTATCTAAATATTAAATCCTTGGAGTGTTTCCCTAAAATGTTCAAACTTGTTCTGTGATGTGGAATTCAACAGATCTATCTTTTAAATATACTTGGTATACAGGGTATGTTATTGCTCTGCTCATTTCTTCCTAAAAGGAATAAGTAGAACTAGGTCCAATTATAATTAATTTAGCTCCCTTCTAGGCCTAATTGTAGTGGCTATAACTATAAAATTCCCCATTATCCATTTTGGGCTTCAGTCCTTTCAGTAGGAAATAAACAAATGTTACTGCTTTACTTCAAAGAAAGAACTATAGCAGAGAGAACAGTCTAGAAAAACCAAACATACTTTTCCTCTATGGATCTTGTTTCTTTGTCATATTGTCAGACCTTTTTAAAAAAGTAAATTGGAGTTTCCATTACATACCGACTTAGTCCCCAGCTTTTTGTTTTGTTTTTTGGGAAGGTGTTTTTTGTGCTAAGAACTAGTTCCAGCCCTTGTACTCGCATAGATTCTTCACTGTCTGATGAAATCACTGAGAAGGCAAATGTGTGTCTTCTTCCATCAGGATATATTCTAATTTATTCCTTCTAAACAAAAATCCCAAACCCTGTCCATGTGCATTCTGTGTATGCTACGTTAGAAAAGCTTATCAGTGTCAGGGCAGACGTCCATCTTTCCTTTCCATAACTACGTAGTGTAGCGACATTACAACCTTCTCTCTTTCTTTCTCTCTTGTAAATCAGACTGAAGGGAAGAGCACTTTCACTTCCTTTATAGGATGGAATGTGGTGTCACAGGGAACTTCACCATGGTGAGTAAATCCTGATTTTCCTTTTATGCTATCAGCAAAATTCACATCTACTTGTAGTCAGTAGACTGACTGATCACAATATATAAATGGACAACATAGGTAGATTATTAATTAACTTTCCTGGGTAAAAAGTCTGGCACTTATTATACGTTGCTCACGGACGTATGGCTCTTTATAGGAAAGCATAAAGGCTAACCCTTGCTATTAGAAATAGACTTGTATAAGTCACATAAGACTCACATAATAGTCTTATGTGACTTTTCTTGGCTATGGAAATATAGTTTGATATTAAAAATCAGTTGGTTTTAAAAATTGTGTAGGTAGTGTATGTGTACCACTTCAGCCAACGTATAAAAATTCTTAACATCATAGCCCCTGCTCTGTTTTCATTAATTATCTAGCATAGTACATGGTCTGTTTTTACTTTGTATAGTAATACATTGTATTCCAAATGCATCTCTGCACCATCATAGTTATGTTTTTTGCTTGTACTTTATTTTTTAAGCAAATTTTTAAATTAAAACGACAGGAGATTTGTAAAAACTGTAACCCAGTTAACTGAGTGAAATTACTTTGTATCTCTGGGTGACCACAAGACCAACTTCAGTCTCTGGATTTCTGAAAATATATCTGCATTTCACCAGGTGTAAAAAACTGAGCTAATTGTTTTGTTTTTCAGAAAGAAAGTTATAGATATTGTGAAAATTTTTAGACTTATTTGCAAAATAAAATAGACACTTAAAATTGTGCTAAGTTCTTCATTTGCTGACTTTTAATATTATTGCTGCTTGTTATTTTAAAAGGAAATTAAGTGAATTTTTTTTATTGTTCTCACATGAAGTCTTATTTTGCATTTGTTCTGTGACAGCTCTCATCAGGGCCTAAGTGTCAGGTTGGTTTTATGTTATGTTCTTAGCATGGTCTCGTGCTGTGTTTGCATGTAGTTTTTGTGGTGTTTGAAAAGTGAAGTGCCATTTAATATTGACAAACTTAGCCCCATTTTGTCCTATATTTCAAATGGAGGTGTATGAGCAATACCTTAATATTAGAAACCAGTTGAGGAGAACTGCACGCGCACATGCAGACACACACACACCTTTTCCAAAGCAAAAACTGACACTGATTTCAGTCTATATGCAGGCATGCTTATAGCAAACTCATTTTGGTTTTGTTTTCCCTGACATTTTAATTAGTAAAGATATTTTTATGAAAAATAAAAGCATTGTTTTTTAAGCAGTAGCCTGCTCGTTCCTGTTTATGCCTCATTTAAAGTCATAATCCTCTAATTCAATAATATAATTATGATGCTGCAAGTGAAGGATTAAGACTTCAGTTGAGGAAAAATATAAATATAAATATATAAATATATAGCTAAAAGTTTAACAATTCAGTTTTCATGTAAATATCAGTAATAGTTATAAAAAAGGAGAAACGAAAACCGATTTAAATCTATTAGCAATAGTTGTGTTTAAATCGAATGTTCTTTGACTTTAAAGAGAGATGTGGTCAATACAGTGAGGCTCAAAATTTAGAAGTGATTTATTTTTAAACGTACAATGCTTAATATTTAATGGAAAAGTTGTAATGAATATTTTTTTAAAATTCAAATGAAAAGATTTTTGTTTGGACTGAAAAATTCACTTAGTTTTGCAACCGAAACTTGAAGTGTTTTTAGTGCATAAACCAGACAGTACAACTAACTAGCCTGTTGCATTATGTAAGTTCAGTGAAATGCAATAAGTACTCTATATAATTAAGTAAATTAATTTTTATAACAAAATCTGGCTCAATCTAAGATAGTATTAATAATGTGTTCATTAATAACTTGATATGTTTTTAAAGGATTTCAATCATAACTATCTTACATTTTTGTATAATCTGTAGTGTGTATTACTGTGTATTTATTTGTATTACAATAGCGCTATGAACTCTGTTTTGCTAGGTGCTATACAAACGCAGAACAAAAAGTCAGTCCCTGCCCCAAGGGGCTTAGCATCTAAGTACAGAACAAGAGACAGCAGATGAATATCAACAGACAGGGAGTACAAGTAAACAACAAGACATTTATTGATTAGCATGAAAGACTGTGGTTGCTGCATACTAGCAGCCTTACCTACAGCAGCTGTGATGTGAGGACAGCAGGAATAACAATAACAAGGTTGTCTAACACTTCCCATTATAACAGCCTGTCTTTAATTGCTTATAACTTTGTCAATTTTTAACTGCTTAGGTTGAAATATTCCATGCTTAGTGTCTGCCTCAGATTGTTTTGTTTCTGAAAGTTTGAGCAAAAATGGTTCAACTGTTTTTCAATAACAGGGCTAGTGAAAAATAAATAGTTTTGCTAGTATTTATTAAAAAGAGTCCGAGTCTTTTCGAATGGCTCTAGTGCCTCAGAACTTTGGAACAGTAATTTGGCAGGGGATCAGCTGGTAGGCTGAACAGAGAATAAATTGGGTGCTACTTTTTACGCTCTTTCACATATGCAACAGCGTGATAAAATTATAAACAGTAATGGCATTAAAAGGCAACAAATTTTAAAATTGATAATCAGTTGTTGCATAGTTCATAACTCGCTGCCAAAGAATATTGAACCAAAAGATAGACTTAGTCTTATATAAATGTAATCTTTTTTGAATGTATTACACTTAAATTAGTTAAGAAGTTTAAAAAGGTAATAAATTTTCTGGAATAAAAACCAATCATTTACTGCCTAGTATTGGAAAGAAACGTCTCTTTTGGGCATATTCCTGAATATTTTTCCATCATGAGGATTTATCCTCTGAAGCATTAATCAGTATTTGAGACAACAAGATGTTGGACTAGATGGACAGTTTGACTGGATTGAATGTGGCTGCCTGTGTGTGTGTTATCTTTTTGTATAGTCATACATTTTGAATTTATAATCTAAAAAATTTAGAAAAGTACCTAGATGTTGCAATTTAACACAATACAAGGTAAATATAACGTGATATTAGAATTAGAGAGAGAAGATGGATAATTTTTGTGCTTCTGTTCTTTTTGTTTTGCAATCAATTGCCACTTCTGCTGTGTAAGAGCAGCTAGGCCAAGGATATTTTATCCAGATGGCCCTTTACTTACAAACAAACGGTACATAAGAAATTTGCTGTCTCTTGTGAGCTGATGCTTAAACCACAACAATAAAAACCCCTCATGTTTGTTCTTAGGTGTCTTTGTTGCCTTTTTGTTTTTAGTTTGGCTTTTGTTTTTTGTGGTGGGCCCATAGAAGAAATGCCATCACTGCTTCTCCTTGGGATAAATTTGGTAAAAATCAGTAGCCTGGCTTCTCTTCAAAATATTGGCAGCACTGAGTAAAATTGCGAATAAGTTTATTATATCATTATATTATGGATCCTTTATATGTGGGATAAAGATAGCTAAAAATGCACTAGCCAGATTACAGGTTTTGGATGCCAAACTCTCATCAGCTTTATACATTTAATTGACTTAGTTATTCTGGATACCAGTAAACCAGGGTTTTATTGTGGTTCATTTTACTCATGCTCTACCAATTGTTAAATAACTTCAATGGTACAGCTGTTAGAACAAAGAAGGGTTTGGCAAGGACAGATGGCAATGCAGTATGAGCCTGAAACTATTTTTCTTCTCCTAGAATAATGTACAATACAAATACTGTAAAAACAAATATTCTCTGCAGTTGAAATACTCCTGAAATGTGAGCATTTGTAATTTTTTTCTTCATAATGATATTTGTGTGTTTCTGATCTTTTGCACAAGTTTAGACACTTGGGCTTTGTTTCTCCCAAACAATAGATAGAGACAGAACTCCTTCCTACTGTTTGAGATGCACGTAAGACATTTGTTTAGAATAGCATGGGTATAAAACTTGCACATGGTTAAGTCATTGATTTATGATTGTTTCAAAAATGGAATTTAAAAAAAAGTCTTCTGAAGCAAAGAAATTTTCCCCTATTTGTTCCTTTTCATTGGTCAAACATTGTTCTTTTTCTATAGTTTTGCATTATATTGCAATAGTCAGGGATGTTTAAGGTGCTGGCAGCAGCTACTCATGTAGGTCTTAAACTGGCTTTTCTTATGTCAGAAATATAATAATTTTTAAAAGTAGATAATTTTTCCCCATTAGCTCATATTTAAAGCAAAATAAATTTGAGGTTAAAATAACCTTTTTTACATTCTTGACAACTGGAAAGATCTATTTAATTGATGTGACATTAACATCACAATAACCCTTCCTAGCCTTTGATATATTGCCTCTGTACATCTCCACTATATTCTTTTAAGTACCATAACACAGTGATGAACAAAATAGCTTGGTAGGACAAAAAACCCAGTTGAAGGTTGGCCTCTTGTGTGCTTGTAAGAGGGTAGCCTCACTTACAGCTTCACTGCCTGGCTAGAGCCCTGAGAGAGATTGAGTTCTTTGGTCTGTACCAACATCTATGGATGTTCTATGGAAAGTGAGCTAGTGAATGCCCCAAGATTATCCTCATAAACAATAGTAAAGTAAATTGAAACTTCTGTGCAGTGGATTATGGAGAAAACAAATTGTTCTTTTCTTCACTGAAAGGAATCATGGGTTTTTTTTAGACTGTCTATAATTCAAGATTCTAAATCAATATGTAAATAATCAGTTGGAATCAATAAAGAATTGTGTGGAGTGTGTGTAAAACACTGCAGAGAGTAGGTGGGCTTCTGATTTTGTCAGTCCAAGGAGAATGTAGAATTTGCCTACTTCTGTTAAGTAAAGTAATCGGAGACAAGATAGGTGAGGGGTATTATCTTTCACTGGACCAACTGTGAAAGATGCTACCTCACCTACCTTGTGTTTCACATGTCCTGGGACCAATGTGGTTTACAATAGTACTGCAAATAAGTAAAGTAATCTGCTGCAATGGAACTGTATACCTTATGTAATTTATGTACACCTAGCCCGACATGTTCGTTGTATTTTTATACCACAATTTTTGCTTTGGAATTGTACTAAAATGTAGAGGGGTTTGTCAACATTTTATATTCTGATAAGGTACCAGTTAAATCTGATTATGGCTCTTCCTTTAATGTATCACTCATAGCATCTCTGCCATATTTTATAATTTCTACATAGAGTGATTTCATTATGTATGTGTATCTGTCCAGGCATTTTCTCTCTTGCCCGTAATTTTTTAATTTCCTTAGGCTGGTAGAAAATAAGGGCTTGTTTACGCTTGCAAATGTACTGAAATAGCTATTCCAGAGTAGTTATTTTGGTATAAGCCCCCATTTACACACTAATTCTTGTATATGAGTGCCTTTTTAATTCACTTTTTCCAGAATGAGTATTCACACAGGGGCTTAGACTAAAATAACTATTCCTAAAACGTAGACAATCCTGAAGATAAAGAAACATTCTCTGTACCCAGCTTCCAGACAGTTGCACGTCTACTACAGCTGGAGCAAAGTTGCCTTATCATTCTGGGCTCAGCTACTCCTGAATTAATGATCATGTTTTAACACTTGTGAATGCATCAGAAAGTTCTAGTGTAGACAAGAACACAATCATAATAATAATCATTTTAACTGGTCCAAGTTAACTGTAGTGTCCTTGTTTCTACTAGAGCTTTCATTTGTTAGTAAACGTGTTAAAACAATTTTTAATTCAGATGTAGACATACTTATGTACAGTACCTCACAAGATTGTTATGAGGCTTACTTCACTAATGTTTGTCATGTGCTTTTGATATTTGGACTATGGTGCTTTAACCCTTTGACCCAATCTGTAAGAATTTTAAGCGTCCGGCATCCGATTAGTGCTCAGTAGTTGATTATAAGCATTGACAGGTGAGTATCTTCCTTGGAATTTCATTGTGCTAAATATGAAGTGGGCAAGTTGGGATACTTTGTATGGTTTTTGTTAAAGTACATTGAATGGTTGGTAGCCCATACTACTAAGGCAGAAGAATATGCCTGGAAAGTGTTATGCTGTGTACTCTTACATGGGCTACGTGTTTGGGAGCTAACTTGGGCACTTCAGGTTGTGTGCTTTTGAGAAAGTTGCAGAATCTTAGTACTAAAAAGAGATATTGAATAGTATATTAGGGGTTTGTACTCCAACCCGCAGCATCTCATTCAATCCTTGAGGGAGCCATTTAGGGATCTGGGGCAAAAATTGGGGATTGGTCCTGCTTTGAGCAGGGGGTTGGACTAGATGACCTCCTGAGGTCCCTTCCAACCCTGATATTCTATGATTCTATGATCTCATTCTTTGTACTGCAATCTCAGAAGGAGGCTTCATTTCCTTCTCAAAGAGCGAAGCAAGCATGGCTACTTCTGTAAGGGAGAAGATTAAATTGATATGTAAAATGGCCCAGAATGAAAGGTTCATTAAACGCAAATAGACCTATGTGCACAAGGCTCTTGTCAAGGTTGGGGGCAAATGAGATTTTATTTGAATTTCTGGGGCCTTGACAGCTAGTAGAGAAGCAATCCTATTCAGGACTGATCTGTAATTTTGTATAATTGTTCCTAGTGCACTGCTTCTTGGTTTTTTAGCTCAGCAGTGTAAACTGTTTCAAATACTATGTATTCTCAGCCAACAGCCTCTGTCAGTGCATATCAGCTAGTGGCATTTGTATTTTGTGGCTGTATAACATATAAAGAATTATTTTGTGCTTTATATTTCAGTGATAGACGTTTACTACAACCTGCTCAGGTATGTGACATTTTCAAGGGAGTTATATTGGTCATCTGCTACTTCATGATGCACTATGTTGACTACTCTATGATGTACCATCTGATAAGAGGACAGTCTGTCATAAAACTCTACATCATCTACAACATGCTGGAGGTAAGGGCATTGACATCAAAAGGAAATGTCAAAGTATGCTTTCTTTCAGGATATCTAATATAATACTGTTATGACTTTTGTACTTTATGACTTTGGTACATCTCTCTAATATAGTAGGTAGAAAGATGTTACACCCCAAGGTGGACTTGAACATATAGCAAAATAGACCTGGACATGAAAATATCTAAAAGAGATGCTTCCATAAAAAAGGGTGCAACAACTTTGTTATACATCTTCTTTCATAAATCTGTTTCTTGTAATGCATCAGAGTTAATTAAGTTAAATAAAAAAAGAGGGAGAGAAAGTGAGAAATAGGAAACTGAGAAGAGAGTTTTGGACTGAAATTTGAAATGCAAGAGTCAGAGACTGATAGTTTGAAAAAAATTATTTGAAATAGGAAGAGCTACTGAGAAGGTTTTGCCCAGTAGTGGCAAAATCCTATGGAAGAACAAAGAAAAGGCAAAAGATAGATGAAATTTATCTGTTAAATTTTTCTTTTTAGAAATGTGCCTTTTAGTATGCTTAGGCTTTCAACCTCTCTCAGTCCATACCATCAGACAAAAGTCTGAGTACATGGATAGAGTTTCTGCCATGAGTTTAGAGGAGTGTTAGAGAAACAGGGAAGGGAAGGAAGAAAGCAGAGAGAGAGCCTGTGAGGTAGGATAAAGGGAAGTCCTGTAAAAACTCAAAGTATATGTGTAACGGGATTCAAGCACCATGGTGGTGCCTCCTGCTGGCTGTCTTGGGAATTAGCTCTGTGCCCGCTTCAGGTGATGTCTTGCCACTGTCACTCCTGCTCTAGGACCCATGTCTCTCCAAGGACCATGGCATCCTCTTCAGCAACACAGCCCACTGGCTGTGCAACACACCTTGCTCCCCACTTCCAGGGGACCTGCAGTCCGCTGTTCAGCCACTTCCCATAGTGGCTACTGCAGCATATTGTCTGGCCACTTCCTCGTGACCCCAGCATCCTCTTTGCCCTTGCCTCAGGGCTTCTGCCTGCAAACCCCAGCAGTCAGCTGGGGGCGCTCCCCTGGTCCCTGCTTGCAGAACTGCTCTTCCTGGATGCTGGCAGTTCTGTCAGCCTTCCAGAGGCACAGTCCTTCCTCCCTGGGCTCCCAGCAGAGAACTGCTCTCCTCTGCCCTGCAGCTCCCTTTTTGTATGGGCTTGTTTGGCCCTGATTGGTTGCGCCTTTCAGCCCTTCTCTGATTGGCTGCCTCCTGCACAACTTCCCTAGGGCTCTATTAACCACTTAGAGCCCAGTGTGGGGCAGGAGCCTCATCACAATCTGTTTTTGTATTATTCATTATAAATATAAAGCTTTTGGACAACTGTGCTTTTACAACTGTGCTTTTCTTATCACTAAAATGTAACAACAGTAAATAACATTTAAGAAAATGTAATTGGATAAGGCTTGAGTCTGACCTAAGATCTGCGTATCTGTAGCATGTAAATGGCATAATGTGTTTAAGAAGCTACTACAGCCCCTGTTGTTCTGCCAGGATACTATAGTGTTCCTAATAGTCCTTGAATAATTAGTATGATACAGATGTCTAACAAAACTTTGAGGATTATTGAGATTGGGCCATGGTTTGTCCAAATCTGGAGATTTTGGTTCTAGACATGAATTATTCGCTGCTGCTGTTTGAAAATAATGAATAAGAGGGACATTTCAACCACACTATTAATACACTTCCTGAAATAAGCGGTGTGTGTGAACCACCTTGGATGTGTAGTTATTAAAGCTTTCTTGTCTTGTATGTGATTATTTACTTTTAAATAATCTCGAAATCAAAATGCAAAATTCAGCACTCTGAGATCATGTGTACTGTGATATTCATAGAATCATAGAATATCAGGGTTGGAAGGGACCCCTGAAGGTCATCTAGTCCAACCCCCTGCTCGAAGCAGGACCAATTCCCAGTTAAATCATCCCAGCCAGGGCTTTGTCAAGCCTGACCTTAAAAACCGCTAAAGAAGGAGATTCTACCACCTCCCTAGGTAACGCATTCCAGTGTTTCACCACCCTCTTAGTGTCCCCTCTTCTAGGGGACATTCATCCATATATCGTTTCTTAATCTCTGACAGTATGAGTGATCATGACTTAGTAAGTAAATCTAAGTATGGTACAATTTATTAATGCTCAAAATCATTTCATTTCAGTTTAACTGTTTCAAAACATTGAACAAATACAGTGATGGCTACTTATTACAAATTGTAAAAGGAGACTTCAGTATTTTGCTCAGCAAAGCAGAAGGCGTGTCATCCCCCTCACTGAGTTAACAGGGAGAGAGTTTGAGAGTGGCATTACCTGAATCCAAGCAGAACCAGTAGTGCACTTCCCTGCTCGAGAGTAAGGAAATAGTTTCTGCTGCTCTGAATTCTGTGTTCTGATACTGCTTATAGCTACTGTAGTTAAACAAAGAAAACTCTACTGTAGTTAACAAAGAAAACTCCCTTTAATTTCAGTGGAGAAGGATCCAACTAGAAAGTGTATTGGATTTCCTTGATCTGCCATGAATAACTTCATGCCTAGCAGAGCAGGAAAAGTGATTTCTGCAGGCTTTTTACAAGCCTAAATCACAGCAGAAAACAGAGGGTCCTAGGTCCCACTCAGCATGCTTGCTGGGAACATGTTTCTATTTTACCCAAACACAGATCTGCCACTAGCAGTACACCGTTCAGGTTGCCCGTATAGGAATAGAGACTTTTTAATTTTTTTTAAAAAGGCAATAACCAGATTTACATTTGTATCAAAATATACTTACCTCAGATTTCTGATTTTGAAATTTTAATTTGGGGAAATGATTAGGCTGACAAAGATGTTTACAATGATGTTTTCGGCTATCTCTGGGTCAGAGAAAATTGTCCTGCAAATGGATTTGATAGAAATAAAAACTTCCAAATAATGTGCTGAATGCTGCCCCAATAACCAGGCTTAAGGGATGCATTCAGCCCAGTTGGCTTAAAATGACGCTTTTCTTTTTTTAGATTCAGACCCACCGGCTCCTGCTCCTTATGAAGCCCCAGCGTGTGTTATGCTGGTGACACAACATTCACCATGGAACTCTACTGGAGCCTGGAGCCGGCATATAGGGTTTAGGTAAGTCCACTTTAAAAAAATCCCAACAATATTGCGTGGTGGTTCCTTGTTTTATACCCTATGGGATATAAAATATTAAAATGTTAAAAGAAAAAAAAGCCTTTTAAACCCCCCGCAATATTGTGGGTAAAACCAAACTTACCTGACTCCTTAAATATTCTATAGTGGGTGCCACTTCACCAAAGTGCATGATGGGGCATCACACGGAGCTGGAGCTAGGGGTTGTTGACCATCTTCACTGAGAAAAGTAAAAAGCCGAAAACAATGCCATTGTAAATATCCTTTTGAATTAACCTAATTCTTTTCCTAATTTAAAATTTCAAGCTGCTAAATTTGAAATAACTCAGAGCAGGAGATTCTATTGTCATAATGCTGAGAGGGTAGCCAGTTAATACTAAATGCTACTCTTAAGTGTCTTATTTGGGACATTCAGCATTTACTGTACCATTTGCTGTTTTGGTCAAATCTTCACCTTTAAGTTTTTTAGTGGTACTAAATAATGAATGTTGGCTTGAGTTTGTTGAACTTTTCTAATTTCTGTCGAAGTTGCTCTTCAATAACCTCTTAAAATTTGAGTAACAGCTTTATATAAAAAAAAAAGAAGAAAAAGAAAAAAGCACTGAGCCCTGGCTGACTTTACTTTTGTTCTATGAAAAACCTTTTAGTTAATGTGGAACAGTATAGTACTTGCTTGTATATCTTCTTTTCTACTCTGATAGCTTTTACTTGTCTCAAGTTGTCATTTTTAGTTTACAAAAGAACAGCTGAATGAAGCATTAATCTGTCTTATGACAGTGTTTGTTTTTATATCACAATCTTATTACTACAATTTATTAAGGAATGGTAATATATTAGTGTTGTCATATTTATCTGTTTACTTGGTCAGACTCATAAGAGATGGAAAATACTTATTAATTCAGCCAGACATGCTGTCTGAATATAGAATTGTTCTCTAAAGTACATCTTCTAGTACTTTGTTCATTTTAATTTTAAATATCCCAGACTTGTATGTATGTACTGGAGGAAGAGGTTCCATCACTTCTTCTCTGAACTGCCTCCAGTTGCTGAGAACTAAATTTAATCACCTTGACCTTTCTTGCTGCTGTATTGAATAGCAAACTCTTGTAATTTGCTATACACGATTATTCCTACATTCCTTTCAGAAATATTGCTTTCTGGGTTCTTCCTCCCCTGTTGGGTATATATTTTGGATTGCGTTTCCTCAGATGTTTGCAGTTTTCCAAATCAGTTCCCATGTTACGTTCAGCCCATTTTTCTAATCCCTCTAGATCCCTTTGTATCATTTTTCTGTTCTCTTGGGTATTTGTAATTCCTTTAAATATTATCTGAATTTGTGCCATTTATTCTATGCTCCTGGGCATTAGTAAAGATGTTATACGAACAAACCAAATGCCAATCTTTGCAGTACCCCACTAGACATCTCCTCCTCCCTCTTTCCCGAACTTGATACTTCTCTGTTTATCATTACCTTTTCCTTCATTCTTTTTAAATATTTGGAAAAAATGAGAGACAGGCTGGCTTTGAGGCATGATAGTGAACATGTTGCTTTGTGAAAGAAGTTTGAATTGCAACCTGTCACTAACCACCATAGCTGAAGTTGTTGCCAAGGCCTAGGATTTCATGTCATAAGTACATAAGAATGGCCATACTGGGTCAGGTCCATCTAGCCCAGTATCTTATCTTCTAACAGTGGCTAGAGTGAGATGCTTCAGAGGGGATGAACAGAACAGGGCAATGTCCCTGGTCATCCAGTCTCAGCTTCTGGCAGTTGGAGGTTTAGGGACAGAGCATGGGGTTGCATCTCTGACCACCTTGGCTACTAGCCATTGATGGACCTATCCTCCATTAACTTATCTAATTATTTTTGCTCCAGTTATATGTTTGGTCTTCACAACATCCATTGCAACGTGTTTCACAAGTGGACTGTGCAGTCTGTGCAGAAGTACTTCCTTTTGTTTTAAACCTGCTGTGTATTAATTTCATTGGGTAACCACTGATTCTTTTGTTTATGTGAAAGGGTAAATAACACTTCCTTATTCTCTGTCTCCACACCATTTATGATTTTACAGACCCCTATCATATCCCCCCTTACTCAGGTCTTTTCTAAGCTGAATGTTCCCAATCTTTTTAATTTCTCCTTGTATGGCAGTTGTTCCATACCACCTAATTATTTTTGTTGCCCTTCTCTGTAACTTTTCCAATTCTGATCTATCTTTTTAGAGATGGGGCAATCGGAACTGCATGCAGTATTCAAGGCATGGGTGTACCATGGATTTATGTAGTGGCATTATGATATTTTCTGTTTTATGTTTCCCAATGTTCTGTTAGCTTTTTTGACTGCCGTGATGTCTCCAAGATCTTCCTTGAGTAGTAACAGCTAATTTAGACCCCATCATTTTGTATGTATAGTTGGGATTATTTTTTCCAATGTGCATTACTTTGCACTTATCAAGTAGGTGTCCAATGCCTGAGTAAGTCCTGCTGAAAGAGAGGTATGGTGGGGGTTAAGGAAGAGTAGACCATTTAGGAATATGAACAAGGCAACTATAACATAGCATTGGGAAAGCTTTGCAGAGAAATGATGTGTCCAAAAAAGGAAAAGAGAAATCATATGAAAAAAATTGAGCCTCTAAGGCCTTTTTTGTGGGTTGAGCTTTAACTATTGCAATGTATTTAAATGAGTTATTTTAATAGGAGAAGCACTGTTTTAAAATATTAAAAGGTCTCTCTCTCTAGGTGGCTGATCGCCTGTTTTCCTCTTTTGGGCAAGATATTTTGGATGCCCTTTATTGGACAGCTACTGAACCTAAGGAGAGAAAAAGAGCTCATATTGGTGTGATTCCTCACTTCTTCATGGCAGTGCTGTATGTCTGTATCCTTCCTTGCTTTTTGTCAATTAATTGCAACAATTTTCTTTAGCTTGTTATACATTAGGTTAAAAAAGTTTCTCAATAAATTAAAATAAGAATGATTTTAAAACAGAATTGTGTAAAATTATTTGAATATGTTTCTGGGCTTGCCTGAAATTACATATTCATGTTCATTTTCAGAATAAGATTTACAGTACTTCATTTTTTTTAAAAGTAAACTGAAACGCTTTTAACCTGCCAAGATGTGAGTTAAGGGTTGTATTTCTCATGCAGCAATTGATGATCTTGCTGACACCAAAAGTGGAGCAAATGGAAACAAATCCCTGAATTTTTATGTGGGGACTCTGAATGAATATTGATTGTACTTAGACTTAAGTATTTTCTCACAAGAGGTTTTTAAAACAGCAATTTTACTATCTTCGGTACAGCATAATTGCCCTCCTAATTTGAAAAAAATATGATAACTCTTTAACAATTATTTTTGCTTCCCTCCTACAGCTGTAGGTTTTATTTTCTAGTTTGTCACTAGATTAAATACACTCACATACTGTATTTCTCCTGATATTGCTCTGTGCAGCCTTGCAACACAGTGTTGTTCTTTAACTGGGGAGGTTGGCTTGAGGTGCCCTTGAGAGAAGCTTGTCTGTCAATCTTCTTGACTTCCAAATTGGGTTATAGAAGCAAGAAACTTCATATGGCTGAAATTCATATCTTCTTTATGGTATTATTAGATTTAAATTTCTTACTGCTTCGGCTATTTCACCAGCCTGCTTTTGTGACAGCTCTTCTGGTGACCTTGTTTTCTCTGTGGCTGACAAGATGTGGTGTCCTTAACCTAGATCAACAAGAGGTACAGAAACCAGCAGCAGTAGTGATAGGTCCAGAATTAATACATGCCAGTTACAGTGTGCAATGCAGTCGTTACACACTCAGTCTCCATCTTCTCAAGTACTTTCAGGCTATATTGACATTTCTCTTACGTGATGACATTGGGCTCTTTCAAAACAGGAAACCTTGATGCAGCCTGGAACATGATCTGCAAAAGAATGCTGTTTCTATCAGAGTAGAATGAGCTGCCTAGTAGAGGACTTCAGTGCCTTAACTTAATACTATGTGGTTAATGTTGTAAAACAGTGTGGTACATTACAAGCATGCTGTGGAAATATAAGCAGTTCTGAAACTCACAGGTTTGAGTGTAAGAAATTGCAGTAATTTAAAGGAGTACTGGTGGCACCTTAGAGACTAACCAATTTATTTGAGCATAAGCTTTCGTGAGCTACAGCTCACTTGATGATGAAGTGAGCTGTAGCTCACGAAAGCTTATGCTCAAATAAATTGGTTAGTCTCTAAGGTGCCACTAGTACTCCTTTTCTTTTTGCGAATACAGACTAACACGGCTGCTACTCTGAAACCTACAGTAATTTAGAATCTTGTTACACTGCTCATGTGAAAAAGCATATCAACACTATGATGAAATCCTGGCCCCATTGAAGTCAATGAGAATTTTACCTCCACAAGTACACTATACCTACTAATCTACTCCACTAATTAATTTTTCAGTGATGCATGAGATATTTTTGTATTCTCTATTAATTTTGAGGACAAAATAAGATTTGTGTGAATTTTTTTCAAAGTTTTGGATGATGCTAATATAATACAGTACAGAAATGTGCTTTTCAAATATCATTTTCTTTAACACTGCTATTTTCAGTCTTGCATGCTATTCTTATAATGGTCCAAGCAACAACACTTAATGTAGCCTTCAACTCCCACAACAAGTCACTGCTTACCATCATGATGTCTAATAATGTAAGTATGAAGTAAATTTGATTTTTACCTCTGAGTAATAAGCAAATGCTCATAAATGAAAGAGATGAACAAGTGACACAGTGCATTTTAGCATCATTGTTCCACAGGACAAATTTTTAATGCTTAGAGAGTAGTATAACTTCATAATTTATTCAGATGCTATGTTTAGGATAGCTGAGGGTATATATAAAATTAAGTGTTTGATCATCTTTGGCTTTCAATTAAAAAAAAAATTAACATTCCATAGTACATGGATAATCTGTAATGAAGCTAACTGTGTTTAAAATTACAGTTCGTTGAAATAAAAGGAAGTGTTTTCAAGAAGTTTGAGAAGAACAATCTTTTTCAAATGTCAAACAGTGGTATGTATATTTGCATGGGTCAGAAAAATATTACTAATTCAAAATGTGTTTTTATTTCAAGTACAGTCTTCCATTATGTTTATGGTATTGACATGATAACAGGTATTATCTTGAAGTAGACGTTGAGCACTCTATATTTCTGTTAACGTAGAACTGAGTTCTAGATCTCCTCATTACTGCTTTGTTTAATAAGACTAAACCAAGAATTCAGTTTTAGGAACATTGTATTTGCACAAATAACTGTTTGCATTTTAGTACCTAAATACAGTAACTCCTCACTTAACGTTGTAGTTCTATTCCTGAAAAATGCGACTTCAAGCGAATCCAATTTCCCCATAAGAATTAATGTAAATAGGTGGGGGATTACGTTCCAGGGAAATTTTTTTGGCCAGACAAAAGGCATTATATACTTTTTAAACAAGCAATTTAATACAGGTATAAGTTTTAAAGAAACAATTTAATACTACAATCTTCATTGCTTAGTATGAAGCTTGGTTGAGGTGGTGGAGTCAGAGAGTGGAAGAGGGTGGATTGTCCCCCTGCACCTCTTGCTGTTCTTGCAAGTACAGGCACCGACTTTGCTGGGAGCGGGTGGGGCTCAACCCTCAGCCTGTGTACTCAATCCCTTACCGCAACCGCCTACCCTTAACCCAGCTCTTCTCCCCCCCAACTCCTTCCCCTTTACTCCGCACGCTGCATCCTTGCTCCTCCCTCCTGCCTCCTGAACGCCGCAAACCAGTTGATTGCTGGGGGCAGGAGGCGGGGGGAGCGGGGAAGACGCTCATCTGTGGGGTCTGCCAGCGTGCGGGAGGCATTGGGGGAGGGGAGCGTAGGGGAGCTGATGGGGGTAGGGGGGCTGCCAACCATGGACAAAGCACAGCTTTAGACAAGTATGTTGTGTAATGGAGCAGGGACGTAAGATCGAAACAACGTTAAGCAAGAGGACGTTAAGTGGGGAGTTACTGTATGCCAGGAATCTGTCTATGCATTGGCTAATGTCTACTTAAATACACTCTCAAAATTCACACATTTAACCTACTCAAACACCATTTAAGATTATTGCCAAATTCAGAAACCTGTTGTACACTACAACATTATTAAATACCACTTAATATATGCCTTGTTAGCAAGTATCCTGGCATCTTTGCTATGTTAGCGATCATTGGGGCTTATGTGCATATCACTATCATGTTTTATTCTGGTAAGCAAACAATGTAGTGAAATAAATGTACTTAGAGAGTATATTTTGACAGAATCATGGTAGTTTTTAGAGCGTGTCAGTAGATCTGCACATTAGATAAAATTAAGACCACAAGAGGCTTAGGTCTTGTCTGTGGTACATAAGTCCATCCTTGAGGGATGTAAATTGTAGTGCACGCTAGTATGTTGTTCACCAATTGGCCTGTGTGAACCCTGTTAACACACACTAAAAGTTTCCTGCTGGATGTTAATGTAGTCCTGTTTCAAATGCTCGCTAGAGAATTTTTAGTGTAAGCCAGTAAGGTCAACTCAGGACAGTTAGTACATGACATGCTAGTGTACACTAATTTACACCCCGCTAATGCAAACTAACACACTGTATAGACAAGCCTTTAGAGAACACAAACTGTGCATCTGGTGCTTATGATTACGTTGCTGAATTTATTGAAATTTGGAAAAACTCTAGATTAGAAAGATTGTCCCAGGAAGAGAAGTCTCAACTATCCTTTGACTTAAGTACTTTTGTCATAATATTTCAGGTGGCCAGTAGAAATTTTCATATTAATTTCAGTACCTAGTTAGGAAAAATATTTTTTGACGCTTTGAGACATAGTATGATGTTGAAGTGAAGTGGTGTTAAGGGGCTATTTATTCCTGGTATCTCCTCATACAGATGCAGTGCATTAACCTTAGAAAAAAGAATCTTTTGTTTATCAGTTCTTCATTACATGCATATGTGATAGGCAAGAGTTAAAATTAAAAATTACATATGAATGCACACAATCACGCATGAAATAAAAAGCTTTAATTTTCTTTGATACTCTCTCAACTTTTAAATGAAGAAGATACTTTCCTTTAAATCAGGCTTTAGTAAAGAAATGAAACCGATGATTAACTGTAAAACTCTACCTAAAATGGATCATTTGAAGTGTTCCGAGAGTTAGATTTTAGCAAACTGTTTCATCATTTGAATATCTGACTTGTGTATGTGAGACACTAAGATCACAGCTCTGTCACAGTCTTCACTTCTGGAGGGGAATATATCTAGTGAAGTTGATTGGGCTCTTAGGTCTGCCAATTACTTGCTTTTTGACTCTGAACAAGATGATTTGTGTCTGCTTCAGTGAGTTTATCCCTATGGAAAATCAGTGTGATACTACTTCAGTGAATGTTGAGAGAATTATTGTTTTCATGGTGCCTTTAACTTCTTGGATAAGAGGTGATAGATGAGTAAACATAGTAGAATAATAAAACAATAAATTTAAATAATTCTCCTATTACATTAATCTTGTCTTTTTTTATTGGAAGTCTGTAAAAGCCAAAAAATTGATACTCTTCACCCATGTCAGAAAGAACTCTTATCCAGTACTAGTCATGATAATTTCTGGTGGCCACGTTTAAATATCAACTTTAAAGAATGAAATGTGTAATTAAAATCTGCTTAGTGCGAGTCTTTGTGCCAGTAAAACTGGATTGCTGGGGAATGTTCGCAAAGTGAACATAAAAACGGGTCTGAGCAAGGCCAAAACAAATTGTCTCTTAAGCTTGAGTGAATACTTGGAAAATATTTGCAATATTCACCCAGCTCAGTTTTTGTTTGGGACCCTGAAAATCATAAGACCAATCATGGTTCTTAAGTTAGTTGAGTTCTACTTAAAATAGGTAGAGGTTGTGTTTATCAACCGTTTTTCATTTATTTCTTCTATTTTATTGTTGGGCACTGTTAGCAATGATCTGTAATGGCAATGTCAAGTTTTGCTCCTAGCCATGGGACGAAGTGAGGCCATGCATTATGCCAGATGGGTATAGAAACAGATGAGTGCATGCAAGAGTGCACAAAACAAGTGAGTTTATTCTCTTCAAATGGATAGATAACTTTTCCTGAAATGATTCACAGAACACTCATGAATCACCACATATTGTATGCCTAAAAAGAGAAAATAAGTTTTCTAAGCTTTCCATGTGTGTTTAGAATTTCAGATGTAGAGTAATACTTTTCTAACAGTATAGACAGCACTAATTAAGCACTGCAATTTGCAATTACTGTCTGGCAAATCAATTTGTAAGATTGTTCGTATATTTGGTATTAGCCCCTTTCCACTTGTGATTTGATAGCTTCAATTGCATGCAGTGACTTTGCAAATGGGTCAAATCCATGTATTTATGGAATTCAGGGGGTAGTAAATGAGGAAAGTATATCTATTTTAAAAAAAAAATGCTTCAATCTTGGTGAAAGCCCACCATGCTGGCTTCCTTTATACTTTTAAATCTGCCTTATCTTTATTTCAAGCTGTGCTCTATGCAGCTAAATTATTTTTTTCACCAAGAAACCAATTACATCTCTTGTGGTGAAGAGTTTGTGTGAACCATAAAATTCTTTCCTTCAATCTGTTGATTTTCCTTTTTTTTCCGTATCGTTAAATCTCTTCTCTCTGATTTGCCCATAGTTTAGCTCTGCAAACTTCCCCCTTTCTCCCCCTCCACTTCCTGCACCCATCGCTCCTCAGCTGCATGGGGAGGGATCCCTGTACAGGGAGCTGCACCCCCCATTTGCCCAATCCCCAGGCATCCAGACCCCCTCACACCCAGACCCTTCCGCCAAGTCTCATCCCCCCCACTATCGGAACCCCACCTTGATGAGCACTAGTCCTGCACCCAGATCCCCACCCCATCGAGCCCCAACCAGCTACACCTGGATCTCTGTCCCACTCCCACATCATCTGAGCCCCCCACACCCCAGTGCCAAGCTCTATATCCCCCCATACTCAGCCCCACTGTTGAGCCCCAGCAACCTTCACCTGCAGAGTCCCATTACCATTACACCCAGAAGCCCCCAACAAGCTTCTGTGAATCCAGATCGCACCCGGATCCCCCACTGAGCTGCCTGCAGCCAGATTGCCCCACGCTTGGATCCTGCCTTGCTTGGATCCGGCCCACACAGAGGGGCAGGGCCTAGGGTGTTTCTGGGCGAGGCTCACGCCTTGTGCTGTGTCAGAGTTGGGTGCAGCCTCTCTGTTGAATTTGTCGCGTTGGAGGAGCTGCATGGTGATCTCCCACTTCTGCGCAGTCAGTGGCCTGTGCTCCCACTGCCATGCTGGAATCTCCACATTTATTTGACAAATAAAATTTGCAGAATTTTGCAATACTGTGCGCAATATTTCTATTTTTTTCGTGCAGAATGCCCTCAGGAGTATATCTTGGACTTTTGAATTTCCATTTCCAAAAGCTAATTCTCCCCTTTGGGTTTTTATTTTTAAAATACCTTTCTTCTGACCCTATCGTCTGTTCCAGTTAGCACCCCATTTCTTTCATTCTTTTAAAATACCTTGGAATAGCTGCTAATTGTCACATGCTTCCTTACCTCACTCTACATTCTGTTCTTGATCTCCTCTCAGCTGAGTTTTTGTTCTCATTCTAATGAGACAGCCTTCACTAGTTTTTAATCACTTGCCTAGCGCAAACTCCAAAGGTCTTGCATCTATTCTTATCCCTCTTGACTTAGCTGCTTTTGATGCTGTGAATACCACTTTCTGTGCCTTCACTTCAACATGCATGTTTTGTTTTGTTTTTCTGATGTAGGATTCCAATGATTTGCCTCCTGCTTGCTTGATACATCTTCGGAGAGTATTCTCTAAAGATACTTATCTGACTAGAATGCCACTCCTGGATCTGTGGATCTGTGCTCAAGCCTGATGGGAACTCCCATAGTTCAAACTACCCCTCAAAATATACTCTAGTTTTCCAAAGTTCAGTTAATTTCTAACCACACTGAGCAAATTAATTGCCATGAAACCTCAACC